TGTGCATTTTCAGACTGACTTCTGAGGACTACATTACCTAGCCTCTTTTCGCATGGCTTCTTAGTGATTGAGGCTGGTGGGAAACTCCAGAAGATTTTGGGGTATAAGAGAAGAAGAGATAGGAATTAAAAAAAAAAAAAGGTTTGTTAGAAAGTCTCTCTCCCTCTCTTTCTAACTCTATCTGCCAGTTCACTCCACAAAGGGCTGCAATGGCTAGAACTGGGCCAGTCCTAATAAGCCAGGAACCAGGAGCTTCTTCCAGGTATCCCATGTGTGGCAGGGGCCCAACCACTTGGACTATCTTCCATTGCTTTCCCAGGCACATTAACAGAGGGCTGGATGGGAAGTGGACCCACTATACCACACTACCTACTCCAAGACGAGAATTGTTCTTTTCCCTTCTTCCTTTGCCAAGGTCCTGGTGGGGTTGGGGGAAGTCTGTATTTCTCTATCGTTCTAGCTTCTCTTACTGACAGTGTTTATTAGGTTCTGGTTACATCTCTTCTTTCTGTTCTCCTCCAGGGTTAGTGATGATGGCTTCCTGATGTTGTTAGAACTGGATACTATATCATAACATATGGTTCCTTAATCCTTTCATGAGTAGCCTTAAATTTTCTTCCATTAAAACTCTTAGGGTGGGGTTAGGGGCATGCTGCCCTGTGGTATACCAGATTAAGCCACTGCTTGTGAAGCCAGCATCCCATATGGGCTCTGGTTCAAGTCTTGTCTGCTCCACATTTAAAAATTTTTAAATGAGGTTTATTTATTTGAAAGGCAGAGTTACAGAGAGGCAGAGAAGCAGAGAGAGAGAGAGAGAGAGAGAGAGAGAGGTTTTCCATCCCTGGTCCACTCCCCAAATGGCTGCAACGGCCAGAGGTGGGCCGATTTGAAGCCAGGAGCCTCTTCCAAGTCTCCCACATGGATGCAGGCACCCAAGCACTTGGGCCATCTTCTACTAATTTCCCAGACCATAGCAGAGAGCTAGATCAGAAGAGGAGTAGCCAGGATTCAAACCAGCACACGTATGGGATGCTGGCACTGCAAGAAGAAGCTTTACCCACTATGCCACAGTGCCAGCCCCTGCTCCACTTCTCCAGCCCTCTGATAAAGTGTCTGGGAAAGCAGTGCAAAATGGTCCAAGCACTTGGGCCCCTGTGCCCATGTGGGAGAGCCAGAAGAAACTCCTGGCTTTAGCCTGATCCTGCCCTGGCTGTTGCAGCCATTTGAAGATTGAACCAATGGATGAAAGATATATTGCTCTCTTCTCTCTCTCTGTAACCCCCCCCCCCCCTTTTTTTTTTGATCTATTACAAGGACTCTGACAGATACAATTAGCTTTTCCTTTCTGGATAGTTCCATTGGGTAAGGCCATTTCAGGTGTGCAACTAGATGGTAAAGGCCTTTTCATAGGAGGAAACAAGTTGCTTTGACTACAAGAAGATGGCCCAAGTCCTTAGGCCCCTGCGTCCATGTGGGAGATCCGGAAGAAGCTCCTGGCTTCAGATTGGCGCAGCTCCGGCCATTGCGGCCAACTGGGGAGTGAACCAGCAGATGAAAGACCTCTCTCTCTCTGCCTCTCCTCTTTGTGTACCTCTGACTTTTAAATAAATAAATAAATCTTTTAAAAAAAAAAGACACACTTGTTTGCAGTCATGCAAAAAGTGGATGGATCAGACAAAGGATTGGCTGGATGTTGGGGTTTCAAAGTTTGAATATTATCCCAAATAACTCCAATGCTATTTCTGAGGCCCTAATATTTTTCATCATCATCCTAAATTTAATCTGAAAGACTGGTAAGGCTTTTTTTTTTAATTTATTTGAAAGGTAAAACAGAGACAGACATATCCTTCACCTGCTGGTTCACTCCTTAAATGGCCAAATTTTTAAGGCTGCTGCAGGCTGAAGCTGGAAGCCTAAAATTTCACCTGGGTGTCTCATGTGGGCAGCAAGAGCCCAACTACATACACCATCACCAGCTGCTCTTCCCGTCTCATTAGCAGGGAGCTGGATTGGAAATGAAGCAGCTGGGAGTTGAATTGGCGCCAATATAGGGTGGTGGTATTGCAGGTGAGAGCTTAACCTATTGCATTATGATGCCAGCTCTCCCTAGTGAATCTGTAAATTCAATAAAAGGAGTTCGTTACATCTATAATAGACAAAAGATTCTTGTAGCTCAGTATGTGCTTTGAGATATGTCTAGGGATTTAAACTATAGAAGTAGCCATCCATCCCTCAGCATAAAATTGCTTATATCCTTTATATTGTTCATTGGCAGTGAAAACTGTATCCTCCACAGCCTTGCCTAAAAAAGCATTTCATTTTAAGTGATCTCAGGAGATCACTTTAATGAGCTATTTCTTCACTGTTTGCTAGGATCTACACGATTCCCCTTCCTGAATACTATTTGGACTTTTACTGCCTTCAGTCTGAATTGGGCCAAATGACTAATCCTAGAATTGTTCATATCTTTAAGGATCTCTTATCTGCAATTCCATTCCCTAGGATCAAAATCTGTTCCAGTTATCAGGGTTAATTAATTACCTCTTAGATAGCTTAAGCTAGAAAGGAAATTTGTGGAAGAATGAGGAATAATAGCTCACAGACTCCATTCTAAGAAAATGGATAGAAACCAGGAGAAAAACCTAGAATGTAAGAAAATTTGCTAAAGTCACACCAGAGCAACAGTCTGGTTAGATTCTGCCTCAAGGGCTGGCATTGTGGCGCAGTGGTGTAAGTAGCTACTCGTGATGCAGGCATCCCATGTTGGAGTGCCAGTGGGTACTTTGCTTCCAACCCAGCTTCCTGCTAATGTGCAATGGCTCAAGTACTTGAATCCTTGCCACCCACAGGGGAGACTGGGTTGGAGTTTCTGGCTTTTGGTTTTGCCTGGCCCAGCCTCAGTTCTTGCAGCCATTTGGGGAATGAATCAACAGATGGAAGATTTCTCTCTCAATCTCTTTGTGATTCTGCCTTTCAAGTAAAGAAAAGGAATCTTAAATGTTCTGCCATAGGATCATGCCATGGTCATTGATGGCTTCTCTGTCTCTGAAGCTGTGAGTGATTTCTCAACATTTTCTGCACATTTGTGTCACTGTTTGAGGTTATACGTGTCAGAATTCTCAGAACAGAGCATCTGATAGGCTGAGCTCTGGCTGCTAGTGAGTGAATGTAAACCTGGGTCTTTTTTTTTCTGAAGGGGCTACTTGATTTATCTCTTCAAAGAACAGGATCAAAAACAGAGAAAACCTGATTCTTGAAATTGAAAAGTACAATCAAATTGATGGAAGAGAAATATGTACACATGATTCATCCAAATACCAATGACAGAGCAGTATGTTAGCAAGTAGAAGACTGTGTCGTATGCACTGAGTGTGCAGTTGCTAGAGATGAGCAGAGAACCATCAGTCCTGGGCACGTTGAAGCTCTTTTCCTGTCTGTAGACTCCTCCCTTCTATTTCAACACTTCTCTTACTTGGAAACTTTTTCTCCTGGAGCCCCATCACTTGTTGAGCCAACACAAGAGGATCCAATACTTCCTCCTGTATACCTTTCAAGCCAAAATGGGTTGTGTTTCCTCTTCAACCAGGGTATCAGCTATGCCATACTAACGTGAAACAGAGGCAGACAATGAGTTTAATAGGTCAGGTGACCTTTCAGTCAAATCATTGCATCCAATCATCTTTCTTTCCTTACCACTGGCTCCTTCTGTAATCACTGAAGGTAAGCCTGGGTCTTGTCTCCCACCAAGGGTCACTAGAAGTGAATTCTTGTTAAACTAAAACATCATTCAGTGACCGATGAGCTATCAAGACAAAAATCAAAAAGAAGTAATCAGTTCCCACCATGCCTGTCCTGCTTTCCTGATCATGTGAATGCTAAGAGTCCCTTTGTGGGGCCACAGTGTCTGAGGAGTAAACGGATCACAGTGACTCAAATGAGGGGACTTCAAAATGTCCATTGAAAAATGAAATTAGAAGATAAGCTTTCTTTTTGGTGCAACAGTTAAAACCTGTAGTTTTTCCTCATACTACACTGTCTATGAACTTTTTGAAGTTCTGATATACAACAATGAGTACTCATAGCATTGGTGATTAGGCATGGTGATGGAATCATTTATAGCCTGAATTCCTCTCCCTTTCCTCCTTCTCCCTAGATAGGGTGACCTAATAGCTCATTGGTCACAATGCCCTGATTTGTACTTTGCTGTATTATTTGAAGTTTTGGTTGATTTATTAAATAATTGGCATATGTAGTGTCAAACACTAATAACAGTAGTACTTAGATCTAATAATAGCAGTGCTGAGAAGAAGGGGAAAGTTTTTTTTAAGTTGATATCTTACCATCACTTTAAAATGAATGTATTTTCATTTTATTTGAAGTGAAGTTGGAGAGAGAAGGAGGTGGGTAGAGGGAGAGATCCTTTAACCACTGGTTCACTCCCCAAATGCCCTCAAAAGCTGGGGCTGGGTCAAGCTGAAGCCAGGAGACAGGGTTTCCCTTATGGGCACCAGGGACCCATGTTCTTGAGCCATCACCTGCTGCCTTCTAGTGTGCATGTTAACAGGAAGCTAGAATTGGAAGTAGAGCTGAGAATAGACTCCAGGCATTTTGATATGGATACAGGTATCCCAAACAGTTTCCTAATCTGTTCTTGACGTTTATCCTTACTTTTTTCATTGATTTTTTTGCTCCAACTTTTGTTTCCTTGAGTTTATCAAAAGTTGAAAGTGTACCTTTTATTTTACTGTCAATGTCTTCCATTTCGATAAAATTGACTATTTAGCCAAGGGTACAATGTTTCCAGTCTCATTGAGAAAATGCCATTTTTGTAATTGGGAAACATTCTACATTTGTTATGGAGTTTTATTATCTAGAAAGTGTAGATTTAACATAAATGAGATATTTAATTACCAAACTAATACAAATCATTTCTGTGCAAAACTCACACTTATGAACCATATATACTATGGATTTCCCTTGAAGATCCCCATAATTGCACTGATGAGCACTATTGTTGTCATTGATGAAGCCAGCTTTCCCCTTGTTAGCCAGGTATGGAAACAAGAAACTATGTTGAGTAGGTACATTTATAAGTTGTAAATGGGGCAGATGGACGTTTGGGGACATCTTGAGTGGCTCACGATAATGTGCAGTACAGAGGGAAGGAATCATAAGGTTAAATTACCATGTTGGCATTGGCTTTCTTCTTTCCCCTCAACCTGTAAAATAGGTAGGAAAACTTTTCTGACCACAACACACCCATGAAGGGACTGCGAATGGGAAATTTAATTCTTCTTGCTTGCTCTGTTTATCTACTTTCTTCTCCTCCAGAAACTGTGTCATATGGTATGGGTATGGTTACAAATCTTTCATTCCCAATTCCAGGGACAATAACTTGGCTTTAACTTATGTATTGTCAAATAGCCAATTAAATGAGATTTTTTCATTTTTCAAGCAGTGTTTGGGTGTTGTCTAGATGAAGTATGTGATCATATCATGCTGGCACATCTGTTGAGTAGATCTAGCAGAACTTAAAGTTATAAGGTGGTTAGACATTGGATTTGGCATAGAATTAAAAAATGAGGCAGGCGACTCAAAGAAGTTCTAGAGTTTTCATTACTTATGACCTTAGCTTAAAAACAATGGCAGTTATAGTTCAGAAATTTCCTTTCATATTTAAAAAGGAAGTCTTAAAGTATCAACTGTAATGAGCAGTCTCTACTGGTGTATACATATACATCCCTAAAGACATTCCAACTCTAACATCTGGAAGCAGTATTGAGCAAACCATATGCTTAATTCCTAGTTCTGAGTGTTTTTGAAAGGAATCTTTTATAAACTCTGGAAGGAGGTTGTAAATAGCAGAAAAGTACACTCTTCAATACATTTTAATGACTGAGTTATTACTCAGATCTGAAATTCTCAATTCTAGAGCAATTGGGAGTTAAGAAAAATGTCAACAGGAGTGCAAAATAGATTAGAAAACCTGAATGTATTTTGATACTTAGTGAAAAGCTTTCAATTTCTTTTATCTCTCCTTCCCCCTTTCCTTTCCCTTCCTTCCCTCCCTTCTAAAATTTTAGTGGTCACATAGTTAGCTTGTACTGCAAAAGAAGAGGTTGATTGCTCCTTTGGCCAATTGGAAGAATTATAGTATTTTAACAAGCAAAGACTATTAAAGTTCAGATTTGCATACTGAGAAGAATGAGAGTAGTGGTGGAAAAAGGGAAGGAAAGAAGGAAAAAGAAATATGCTTCAGGGGCAAGACAATACCAACAAATTTTCAGAGGCTAACAGAAAAGGAGTTGAGACTAGAGTAATAAGAGATAGATGATGCAAAACTGTATGTTCATGAAGTATGTCAGAATCCACAAGTTCACTGACATCAGTTCAACCATGTTTAATAGGTTAGTGCTAATGTTGGGCCTAGGGAAATCCTAGAAAAGCCAGAGTCAAGTCAACATTGTTCTGGTCCATGTTCTCCAGTTTCTTCCTGATGGTATGAGCAGACGTATGATTATGATGTGTTTATGATGCCACAGGCATGTAAATGACATGGTAGGACACACAAATGAGAAGCTTATCATATTTCCTTGGGATGGGGGTGAGTAATGAAGGCTAAAAAAGGGTCCATAGAAGAGATGACATTTGAACTTAGCCTTATGGGCTGAATACTTCTTAGTTTCTTTACAGTTCTAGTATAGTTCAATGGAAATACTCAAGGAATCAATTGACTTCATCAACCTGATTCAAGGTGCCTGAATCATTTAAGTTTTTATACTCAGTACAACTTGTGTGTGCTTTAAGACTTATCTGACTCCATCTACTCTGAACCTTTAAGTCACCCTGGTTTTGAAATATCTTTGTGACTGACCCTAAGTACAATGGACTGCATTCAGTCCATGAACCTTCCTTAGATCCCACCACTTTCCACTATACAATGTTTTTCCTCACCCTTGGATTATAAATTCCCCAGAGTTCTTGGAACACTTCTATGACCTGTGCCCTAGGATTATTTTAAAGTTATAAAATAATCCCACTATGGAAAAGTAAGCACATCTATGTTATAGGAGAAGAGTACAGGAACTGACTTTGGATCATGCATGCTTCTAGAAAAATATTACCTGTGATTGGGGAAAAACAATTTGGGGGCAGGGAGATTGCAGTATAGTTTAATCTTAGATTGCTCAGGATGCCTCAATAAGGGAGAATAAAAATTTACAATGGGACAAAATTCATCCGATTTTGTGCTATTCCATTTTATGAAGAGAGTGGAGAGGAGGAATGGCCAGTCTATTTCCTTGGGCTCTATAATGTGCTTTAGGTTTTGAGTTCTTTGGAGCTGTGATTCCTTCTAGTTTGCTACATATTTGCATTCCTAGTCCTCACCTCAAAGTGAACCAGAATTTCTGGGCTCAGGGACACAGAATCTATGTTTATATAAATTCCTTAAGTAATTTGCTTGATGAGCCAGGCTTGTGAACCATTGGTGAATATCATGTCAATTTTATTACCTAAATAAGACATTGACTCTAAAATGTAGAATTGTGAGATGGGATTATTTCCTCATTAACTTTACCCATTAGTCAGTGAGTACTGATGACTAGAAGGTCCAAAGACCTTAGGTTTTTATTGCTGTTTGCATTATGGGATTCATATTTTTACCTAATGTAGAATTCTCTAGTTCATTTTCTCAGACATTCTCCTTGCCCGTCCCCTAAATTTTCTGTGGGTGGGAAAAAGGTATTTTTTCTGGTAACTCAGAATGTAGGCAAGAAAGTGTGTGAAAGTGGTGGGAAAGTGCTGCAGCAAATGACTTCAAGATTGTATTATTGTTGCTACTACACTTACTTGTTATCTGAAGACCAGTTCACCCGCTAGACTCCAACTTTTGAACTGAGGTTAAGAGGAATTCTTAGACTTCCTGGAATAGCCATCTTTTTAAAAAATTTGCTGTTCATGTGGTCAAATGTACCAGATATAAAACCGTATGTAAGGACAAACAGGTCCCACACATCAACAGTGATCCTCTCTGGGTCCTTCTCCAAGTCTTTGGTAAGAACTAGAGAAAAATAACAGGAAACCTCAATATGCAAGAATGAGGTAATTTTAATTTAATGAAAGGATATTCCAAGTCTTTTAAAATAGAGTGCCTTTGGAGACTGATTTTTGTTGAATGCATTTAGAAATGATATTGTCAGATAAAGGAAATAAGAAAGGATTTGCAAAGTTTTAAACAAAAAATGTTTAATGACTTCAAAATGGAGATTTAAAACTCAAATTTCTCAACTAAAAGGAAGAGATTCCTCCCTTTGAAGGATGGATCTCCTGATGCCTTAATAGGCAATTCAAATAATTAAAAATATCAGGGAAAAACCCTGAAAAATTCAAATAACTCTGATATCCTAAATCACAGCATAGGTTGAAATAAATGCACTAGTAAATGTCACCACTAGATTCATTAAAAATTTCAGAAATTAAGATACATTGACATTTTCTAAGATACTAGTATTTCAGAGACATTCTACATAAATAACTATTACTAGTTACTAGACATAACTCAGAGCTATTCCAAAATACTTCCAAGTATAAAATTGGGGTTATAGTAGCATTAAAATTTGTAATTTATAAAGATGCTCAGCTGTGCTTCCCCTAAAATGAAATTCTTGCCTAAGAGATATATAAAATTGTGTGTGACAGAAATTATTCAAGACATGTTATATTAATAAAATCATGTTAATCTGTAGCATAATATAAATCTGATAACAATTGCTATCAAACATTGCACATTATCTGCAGTTTTGTTGTTTTAAAAGCATGAGGATCAGTTGGTAAGGTGCTAATATATGTGTTTGACCAGCAGAATTTCACTATGAGTTGAAAATCTAGATGATTGATAAGCCTAATGATATAGCCACTATTCCAATTAATGCTGCTTATTTAATAAGGGAAGCAATTAGAATCTGGAATTACTATCATGGTGACTTGAGAAAGAAATTCATATTAGCTATTCAGATAGCAGATACATTAATACATTTTAAGATGTGATATTTTATTTCCCTGGTTCTTACGTGCATATAGATATCAACCTATAGAATTCATTCTCTTTATACAAAGAAGTAGGCCAAACAAAAATACTTAAGACATGGTTGCTAAATGCATACATATTTTTTACAAGTTTGTACAGCCTGTTGCTGTTAAATATTTTAGCGAGAACTAGACTTTAAAGCTTAAATTCTGGTTATCCATTCTGGAGCAATAATTTTCAAGAGTTTATGCATTGCCACTTACTTTCATTTAAGCAAGTCCACATTTCTTTGAGCCCTCTAGGTGAAGAAAACAGGACATGCTATTAGAATTCTCCTTCAGTTGATAGTGATCAGCACACGGTTAAGTGGGTCACAGTCCAGGATACCTGGATGGAGAGATGGGTTTGCTGGTTTATAAACTGGAATGAGTGGACTGGTCAGCATGGATAAAAACAAGGTCATACCATCACTTTGACCTGAAAAGGGGAAAAATGTAAATTTTGACATGGAAGCCCAATCAGAAGCATTTTCTATGAACAATAGGAGGACCAGCTTCATCATATTCCTGCTTACTGATCCACATCTGCTGGAACGTGGAGAGGCTGGCCAGGATGGAGCCCCCAATCCAAACGGAATACTTGCGTTCTGGGGGGGCAATGATCTTGACTTTCATGGTGCTGGGGGCCAGGGTCATGATCTCCTTCTGCATCCGGTCAGCAATGCCTGGGTACATGGTGCTGCCTCCAGACAACACTGTGTTGGCATATAAATCCTTGCGAATATCCACATCACACTTCATGGTGGAGTTGAAGGTTGTCTCATGGATTCCACTGGACTCGATGCCCAGAAAGGAAGGCTGGAAAATGGCTTCAGGGCATCGGAAGCGCTCGTTCCCAATGGTGATCACCTGCCCATCAGGAAGCTCATAGCTTCTCTCCAGTGAGGAAGATGCTGCTGCACCGATCATCTCTTGCTCAAAGTCTAGGGCCACATAGCACAGCTTCTCCTTGACATCCCGCACAATCTCTCGCTCAGCCGTCGTGGTGAAGTTATAGCCTCTTTCCGTCAGGATCTTCATGAGGTAATCCGTCAGATCTCTGCCTGCCAGGTCCAGACGTAGGATAGCGTGGGGCAGGGCGTAGCCTTCATAGATGGGCACGGTGTGAGTGACCCCGTCCCCGGAATCCATTACGATGCCTGTGGTTCGTCCAGAAGCATAGAGGGACAGCACAGCTTGGATAGCCACATACATGGCAGGTGTGTTGAAGGCCTCGAACATGATCTGAGTCATCTTTTCCCGGTTGATCTTGGGGTTGAGGGGTGCTTCAGTGAGGAGGATGGGATGCTCATCTGGTGCTACACGGAGCTCGTTGTAGAAAGTGTGGTACCAGATCTTCTCCATGTCGTCCCAGTTGGTGACTACTCCGTGCTCAATGGGATACTGTAGGGTCAGGATGCCTCTCTTGCTTTGGGCCTCATCCCCTACATAGCAGTCCTTCTGGCCCATGCCTACCATGACCCCTTGGTGTCGGGGGCGCCCCACCATGGAGGGGAACACAGCCCGGGGGGCATCGTCACCACCGAAGCCTGCCTTGCACATCCCTGACCCATTATCCACTACTAAGGCAGACAGCTCATCATCGGTCATGGCGCTGGGTGGAATCTTCCAGGTGGGCAAACACTACAGTGTGCAAGATAGGATGTACAGGCCTAAGACTCCAGAACTGCTTTCAGAAAGGGGAGCCTGTGCTGTAACCCTAGGTATTTAAAGGAACACATGGACCCACCCATGCCCTCTCCTACCAATTCCCAGCATTTCTGGGTGGAGTCACCTTTGAGGTATTAATAATGATGGAGATGATTATAGAAATCATTAGTAGACCTTCCTTCATAAAGAGAAAATTGGCTACCAACTGGCCAAATATCAAGTTACTGTAATTAGGCAGCCCACACATGTCAGCCTGCTTGGCAAGGTCTCTAGATAACTATGATGATGCAATGGGGATATAAGTGCAAGATGAAAGAAAGTCAGGGCTAGATACGGGTAACACAGCCAAGAGGGCCACTCCCTCCTTACTGTAGGGTCCATTTGATCTCCATGAGCTTTAACTTTTCACTTTTAAAATATTGCTTTTATGAGGGGTCTGACTCTAAACATGTTTTCAAGACTTTTCCATTAGATTCTGAATGCTACAAGATATCATCATGAGAGAATATTTATTAGTAGATAAAAAAATGAGTTGCAAAGGTGGGCTTCAGTTGTAACTAGGACACATTTGTGCCATGCAATGAGCCAGGTATTTATGAAACTTCTTATCCAGAGATCAAGTAAGAGCAACTGAGTGATCAGTAAAGTAGACCACTGCAAGTTTTCCGATTTAAATTTTCAGTAACCAAATTTTGTTAAGCTCCTTGTATTCCTAGACATTGTTCATAGAAAGTTTATTGATTCCATATTGACTGCATGGAGGCTAAATGCCCAGTATCTTGTAAAATTAGTGAAAAATGCAGATACTGAAGTTTTATTCATTTTCAATAAGTTGTTATACAACAATGGACAACATTAAATGGCAAGATTTCAGAGTACATATTTGAACTGATCTTAAAAATATTTTACTCTGTCCAACTTCTTAGTGGTACCATTTATTATAACCCTCTGTGTACACAATGAGATTTCAAACAGTTTGCAGAATGTAAACTTGAAAATGATTGTTATTTTGTATAAGATTATGAAACAATGTATATGATGGGTCTTATAAGGTGAATGGAAAATAAGTATTACACACAATGTACACAAGGATTTTTTAATATAAAGTTTTTATTTAATAAATATAAATTTCATAGATACAAAAAATATTTATTTTCAGGATGCATGTATTAACATCAAATTTCTCTATGGTTATAAAATCTAAACAATTTGACTAGTATTAGCTATGGAGTTTGTCTAATATGGAAATATAGATAATTCAGTAAGACATGTGCAGATAATTTGCAGGAAGTCAAGATCAAGTGTGTTTTTGGAACTAGGTGTCTCTGCAAGAGTCTATAGGGCTAGAGGCTTAGAACTAGAGTTTGGATCTTAACAGGCATGAGCAAGGGAGAAGAACTCCAGGACTGAATGTTGCTTTCTCTCCAGCATATGTCAGATCTGATTAGGGGTCACTTGCCTGTGGGCTGATGGAGGCCACGTCTCAGTGATTATTGCCTGTCTAGACTCTCATATCTTTAACTGAGCCACAGAGACTGGGAATTTTAATGAGGCTCCTTTGGGTCACCATCGGTTTAGAGTATTGAGGTCAACTAGCTTCTGCTTTGGTCCTCACTTGGTTCCTTCCTTGTTCACCAAACTTTCCTTCCATCCTTGCTGGGTTTTGCACATGGGTCTACTTCTCCCAAGATACTGGTTGATATGGAACCACCTCCAACTGCGCTTTTCCTAGTGGAGATTCGTAATGTGTTTGTTAAACAGATACAGGGACAGGTAGTTAATGGGATGTTTTTTCATTGTACACTAATATATTCATCAATAGATCGATAGACCTATTATCTGACCATTTATTAAAAGTTAAAAAGCTAGTTTATCTTGTGGTTAGATATTATATAAAATTTATATTTCATATTGATAAAATGAGTTAATTATGGTATCTTATGAACTAAATATTCATCCTGGAGAGGTCTAATGATTGGTTTTAATATTTGCTTACAAATGATCAGTCCATCAATAACTATGTAACAGTATATAATGATCTATTTGTTTTCATTTATAGGACTTTTCCAAAAAAGGCGTGTAAGTTTTAAAATGCCACAGACTCTCATTCACTACTTCTTGAGGCAGGCATGGGCAGGTGGGAGCAAAGAGTGGCTTTGGTGAGGTATGCCTTGACCACTTCCAGGGTGCACTGGGAAGGATAATCAAGTCCAAGAATTGTATTTGTTGTGTGGAAAACCGCAGCCTCCACCTTCAGCCTGTGCTGCTCCACCATCTGTGAGCAAGACCAGCTTTCACTCCACAGGATGGTAGGGTTCTCTGCTGCTTCAGTGGGTCTAGGAGGGACTGTAGGGCAGTATTTGCCAACTCCAGCTTTTAAAATGTAGTGAAGGTCAGCTTTTGGCTATTTCACCTGACCCAGGTAAAGAGGAGGCATAGCTTCCTGGGTGGAGTAGATGAACCTTTGAATAGGCCTTGCTTTTAAGGAAAGGGGAGGAAGCTTGTGCAGTCGGGAACATCGACACTCACAGATGTGTATCCATTCATGATGGGAACCCTACATTACCCAAGACTGAGAGAAGTTCCAGGTTGTGTTGCTAGCCTGAAGGGTTGTGGGGAAACAATGAAAACCATCACTTAGTGTAGGTCAATCTCTGTGCCAAATGCTTCACTTATGCACATTTCTTTAATCTTCACAACAACCCCTATGAGCTATGTATTATGCCCAGTATAGAAGGAGTAAATTGAAACTTCAAGAATAAACTGATCAAGCTAATACAGAGCTGTGGGATTCAAATCCAAGCAGATCAAGTCCATAGCTCAAGCTCTGCCCAACAAGGGGTCGTGAGAAAGGGCACACAGGGCCTCTGGCTGACATGCGAGGTAGCCCACAAGTACTATCCATAAGAAGTCCTTTGTGTTCTCTTTTGGGAAAAATCTTTCTCATGTCCAGATGTCATCTCAGAGTGGAAACTATGCTGAGTATTGAAGCCAAAAGAGGAAAACCAAATAAAATTCCAGAGAATGATAGCAGGTTCTTCCATGTTATTAATATTAGCATATCTTATGCTCAAAATAGAAAAGAATGCAGAGTTAATACCTGGCCTGAGAAAGACATTGCCAAATAAAGCTGCACATCTACTATTATCTAAAATAAGAAATTTGTAGGGGCCAGCGCTGTGGCATAGTTGTTAAACCCCAGCCTGCAGTGCCGGCATCCCATATGGGCCCTGGTTCAACCAGCTGCTCCACTTCCTATCCAGCTTTCCTGCTATGGCCTGGGAAAGCAGAGGATGGCCCAAGTCCTTGGGCCCTTGCAGTCATTTGAGGAGTGAACCAGCAGAATGGAAGACCTCCCTCACTCTGGCTGTACCTCTCTCTGTAACTGTCTTTCCAATAAATAATTCTTTAAAAAATTTGTATGACAATAATTTCAGGAGGAGATAGGATAGGTAATGGACTAGTAAAAAGCAAGATGTAAGTCAAGAATACAAATGCATCCTTTGAGCTGTGACCATGTAGAAGTGGAGGCTGCTATGTCTAAGTTTTTAGATCTCAGATGGCACTGTCTGCTAACATCAAAATTTGACCAAGATGTATCAGCTGGGGGCTGGGGATCTGGTTTAGGAAGTGGGGTGATCATGTGAGAACCTGGGGTAATTGAGTAAATCTGATGGTCTCCAAACAGGCGAAGAGGAAAAGCCAGCCAAGATGGACAGAAACCACCAGATTGAGGTGACGGGGAAAACTTGAGGACTGGAAATCAGATCAAAATGAAGTCGCTAATGTTCAGACCACCTGAAACAATGTCAGAGATAGGTCACAGGGTGTGGAGGACCCGCAGGGAGGCTTGAACTGAGTTGGAGAGAAAGTTCTTGTCAGTGTATCTGTGACCTGATCCAGATGGCAGCCTTGGGTCACAGGTCATTAAAAGCTGTCAGGAAAACACAAAACACAAATATCGAGAAACGCTTTGCAGCTACTAAGTTGTGGTCAGTGTTTTTTCTTCATTCTGGTGAACATGGCTTTGTGGTTGCTTAAGGATCAGGCCTGATTTATTGCACATTTTCATCAAGATGGCCTAGGAGCCAACACATAGCTAAACTGGAAAAACTGGATTGCGGGTTGTCAAGCCCTGGGCACACCCAGTGTCTCTTCTCCTCTGGAGGCTCTCCTGCTCCGAGAATGTGCTGCCTGGCTGAGGGACACTGAAGATGAGTGACTCGGGAGGAAAATGTTAATTTGGTTTTGGAAGCTGCCTAACTCACTTCCAGCAGGAACTTTTTCATTGGCAGAGTATGACTCAATGTAGGTTTTTTTTTTTCTTTGTCGAGAAATGACCTTTCAGGGGATCTCAGGAGATCCAGGTAGGAAATTATTTCAGGTATCTGGAATGAGTAAGGCCTATGAAGGGTTTTCTTAGTTTTCCTTTTTGCAGCCATCAAGGTGAGCTGCTGTGTTGATGGTTAAGGATGAATGTGCTGAGGGGAACTGAACTTACAGAGAAAGTAGGAAATCTGGACAAAAACAAGGGCAGTGGGATATTAGGACATAAAACCTGCCCGTGGGTGGGTTCCCTAGCTTTGGTTAGCAAGGTGTCCAAGTTCAAGAAAAATACCCTCAAGTGGCAGAGAAGAGGACACTCGTATTTAGGGCCTATTCCCGATTGCTCACAGGGGCCATGTCCTGCTTAGTGCAGAACACGCAGACTGGGGCACGTGGCAGGATTTCTTTGGCCTATGCAGTATCCTACAAATATTTTTGAATTTTTCACCTTGAATGTTTGTAGGCTAAGGGGATTTATGAATTCCCACTTGAAAAGATAGGAAGGTGAAGAACACTGGACCCTCATTTTCAAATTACAAATAAATAGCAGCTACCCCCAACAAGGACTAAATGTTCTCCACTTCCTCTTGTTCTCTCCTCCACCCCTCTGTCCTGTAGCACTGCCCCCAACCTGCTTTCTTCACACGGTCCTTGCAAGTGGGAGGAAAAAGACAACTGGCTAGTAGTCTCTGGTCCTTTTAGGTTTTGGGAAGATTT